TTCAAACTTTGTACTGTAATGCATTTATTATATGAATCTTACTAATTTGAAACCTTTTTTGCAGGTGAACTGGATGCCTTTCGGCCAGAACCCTAGTAATAGAGTACCCAGGACCCTCTACACGGGACTTATACAGTATCGTGAGATCGTGGAGGCGTACATGCCCTAGCGCTGTCTTCGCCAGCTTGGGTTCGTCCAAGTTGTCCCTCCTCCACCGGCGTGGCCGAGTAAGGCGGTCCGATCTGCGTCGTCGAAGGAGTACGTCGTCCAATGGCCGGATAGCATGATTGCCACGTGGGAGCAGTTCCCGATGGTTGCCCGCTTATGGACTGCGAAGCTGCAGAGGCCACCTACTGGGGTGCCTCCCATGTGTGACCAGCACTACATGGAATGGTACAACCGGTATTCGCACCCGAGGTTGATTAGAGACCTCGACCATGGCGACGACGCCGATGATCATGATATGCCACCGCCAACTGCCGTAGATGCGGTATGTCTAAGCAAAAAATTATTGTTGCGTTTTTTTAAAATTTTATATATCGTTATTCAATTTCATGTTTTATTTTTTCTTGTGTATAGTGGATGAGAAAGATAATGCAAGGCGTAAAAAAACTCTCCCTGGAGAAGTACAGCATGAGTGCAGCAGGGAGAGTTGTTGTTGATGAGTTGGAACAGACCCTTGCGCATTGGGAGTCGGCAGCAAAGAGGGATTACTGATGTTATCGGCATTTTGTTTGTTGAACATTTTTTACATTATCAAATTAGTTTGTGAAATAGGACATTATCTTTGTAGTTTGCAGAATTTAATACAATCGTTTTAGTTTTTAACATTTAAAATTATCGTTTTAGTTTCTAACATTTGCAATTATCGTTTTAGTTTTTAACATTTAAAATTATCGTTTTAGTTTCTACATTTGCAATTATCGTTTTATTTTTTAACATTTAAAATTATCGTTTTAGTTTCTAACATTTACAATTATCGTTTTAGTTTTTAACATTTAAAATTATCGTTTTAGTTTCTAACATTTGCAATTATCGTTTTAGTTTTTAACATTTAAAATTATCGTTGTAGTCATGATCATTTGAAATTATCGTTTTAGATTTTAACATTTGAAATTATCGTTGATGTTTATAACATTTGAAATTATCGTTTTAGTTTTTAACATTTGAAATTATCGTTTTAGTTTCTAACATTTGAAATTATCGTTTTAGGTTCTAACAATTGAAATTATTGTTTTAGTTTTTAACATTTGAAAGTATGCATGCAAGATATAAATGTAATCAACTGTACAATACGAGAATAATAAGCAACGCAAAAATAAGGTTACACAGACATAGCGTACAAAAGAAAAACTAAAAAGCTGATAGGGTGTTCCATTGATGGATCCTGTCATGATACAGCGCATCCCAACCCTCTACACTTGCTGTGCGAATGTCGTACCACCGAGGTATGATCGGTGGGACAGGAAAATCGGATGACAGGTCCAGCCGGATGAAATGTTTGTATGACGACCCAAGAAATGCAATAGCTAACTCTCTGACCGGTGTAGTGACGGTTTCACGCGATGACCAAGGTAGAACCGTTGTACAAGGATAATAAGCTCGACTATGCAATCCTAGCCCGAAATGCATTACTGCGCACTTGTAAATGTTTGCAACGGCAAAGAGATCTAGTGGCGCGTCGAAATAGTGATTTAGACCGCAAGGTCCTCCTCCCCACCGGATACGCCGCAGAGCACTATCCAAGCCGTCCTGGTACACATGACGATAAACATCTCGGTTAGAGGCAATTTCACTGTACATCAACTGACGCACTAAACCGTAGTTGTCTTCGCCCATCTGAAACACATCAGCCACGACCCGGAATCCGCAGTTACCATCTCCAACTACATCATTCCAGCCTTCCAAGTATGACATGATGATGTTAGGTATCCTATACTTGTATGGAAACTAGTCAATATCAAATCTTCCTGTTGAACATATCATTAAACACAGTGAACAAGTCAGCAGTAAACTCAAAACCATTATAAAACGTAAATTAAAGTAAGCTATTGTACCAGTGCCGGGCATATTCACAGATGAAGAAGACTGGCTACGACTGGATGACGATGTACGACCACGACCACGACCACGAATGTACTCAAACGCACTCCTGTTCCGCCGTAGACGACCTCTAGGTCGCTCGACCCCTTCAGGTTCCTCGTGATCTAAGAAGGACGTGTTGAACATGTCATGCAGTACGTGAGTAGCATCGCGAATAATGGAAGGATGACTGGAGGATACTCGGTAGTACATCAAACGAAACTGCTCCAACTCCTCCTGTTCGCGGTCGACCTTCTGCGTATCTGCATGCTCACCAATAACAAGCGTCCGCCGGAATGGATGAACCTAATCAACGTGTAACGATGTCCTATCTAGGGTATGCGGTGAATGGTGCATGCGCAACGTAATCTATGAGTTACCGATATAGCACATCCACACCGAACATCAACTTCATCCGCCAACTCCCTCGTCCTGTTGTGCTCGGCCAGAATCAACCCCAAGCAGTAGTGTGACACACGCCCATGTAGAATCTTAAATATGAAATGGCTATACATCGTACCATGTCGCCGCCTAGAGTCCTCCAAAGAGTTCCTGATGCCGTTCTTCTAAGTTTCAATTGCCTTGTTTATTCTCTCGAACAGTGTATCCAAAGTAGCGGTGGAAGAATCAGTCCAATCCTTCGTAGCTCTGTGAGCACTCTCAACTCTGCATGTTGTAGTGTTTCCAAAATGAAGTACTTGGTTTGTCCAATATTTGACAAACTTTTCCCTGTGAGGTACCCACTGCTGCATCACATAGTTTATCAGTGTCGGACACCATTGGTAAGAATCCCTGAAGTTAGCCAAGGCTCGATCGTACTCTGCCTCCGTGGTAGCTTGCAGGATCTTCCGCCACTTACCATTTACCAATCTCTCTGCACTTTCCAAATTCTTGTTGAAGAGGTTGTAGGCTTTCACTTTCACACAGTTGTTGATGTGCCATGTGCATAATAAGTGCTTCGATTCTGGAAACAGCTCTGCTATGGGGGCAAAGAGACCTCCCTCACAATCACTGACGATGGTTGATGGCTGAACATTAGGGTCGATGTAGTTTCTCAGCTTCTCCAAGACCCAATGATAACTCGCAGCCGTCTCATCCTTGATGACTGCATGGCCAATCAGAAAGTTCTGGTTCGTTGGAGTCATCCCAATCATTTCAACTTGTGGGAACCTGTACTTGTTTGTCTTGTACGTTGAATCGATCAAAATCACAGATGGCCAGGACTTAATCATATCAACACAATCAGGATGCACAAGGAATATATGAGTCACCTCCGCTGTATCTTCATTAGAATCATACCAGAACAGGTAACCACGTGCTTGTGCCTGGTGTAGAAGTTGTTGTATAGGGTTCCTTCCCTCTGACCATTCAAACCTCAATTGCTGTCTAACGTTGTAGATGTGTCTTCGGTTTGGCTGGTCTTCAGGAAATTTCTCTAGCACAGATGCTAATATTTTAGCAGGCTTCACTTGAGCATCACTCATTTCTTTGACAACCAGTTTTGCAGCAGGACTTAAGCCGCTCAACTATCGATGACCCACTTCTTATACTATCATCTCATGGTTGTGATACCCCCATTTGGAGTAACCCTTCACTTCCCAACCTTCACGACTCTCTAGTTGTCGAACCTTTACTCTGAACTCACACCCACAACCTTTCCGCTTTATATCAAACCGAGTGGCTGTACTGAAATCTCTTTCTTCTCTTTTGCGATAACGGTGGCATCTCAAAATGCGATCCATTCTACCATCCCGTTGAGATTTATGACTTGTTACTACCAAGAAAAAACCAGAAATAATTGCAACCTGTTTAGCCCAATCAATCGCTTGTTGAGCATCTTCGAAGGGACCATCATGTACAAATATCCCACTTTAATCATTTCCGTTTCCACCATAATCCTGCATCAATTAGATATTATATTTAAATACATATAATTATGTAAAGCGTAAATTAACACAAAATTAAAAACATAATTATGTATAACAGTATTCATACACATACAAAATTAAAACATAATCATTTATAAAAGTATTCATACATATACAAAATTAAAACATAATTATGTGTTAAAGTATTCATACACAAATAAAATTAAAACATAATTAATTTTTTTGTAAATTATTAACACAAATCTAATTTCCACATACAAAATTATAAAATAAATTTATTAGCAAATATGTAAAACATTATTTCAAGTTATACATTCAAATTTATTAAAAAAAAACAAAAAAATTAAAAATCTAATTTCCACATACAAAATTATAAAATAAATTTATTAACAAATATTTAAAACATAATTACAAATAACACATTTTCTTTTTTTTTTTTTTAAGAATTTCAATTTATCAAATTTATAAACAAAAAAGAAACAAAAAAATTAAAAAAAATAAAAATAAAGGGCAGTGGCGCCTGGCCAAGACGCCGCCACAGTGGAGTGGCGCCTGGACAGGACGCCAGAACCGTGGGAGTGGCGCCTAGCCTGGAAGCCACCACCACGGTTTCGGCGTCCTGCTAGGCGCCACCTCCACGGTGGCGGCGTCCTAGCCAGGCGCCACCGCCATGGCACTGACGTCCTGGCCATGTGCCCCGACCATGACGGTTGTGGTCCATGCTCACGCCTCCGACGATGTTTTACCTCGTTTTGCTGCGACGACGACGGCTCTTCGGTGTCCCTCGGCTCTCCAGTCTCCCGCGCGGACCCAGTACGACTCCACATTTTTCGATGTCAGAATTTTTCGTTTTTTGGTAAGATTTCACAAATGGGCAAAAGTGTCAAACCAAGTGTCTTTTTCAATTCGATTTTTCGATGTTAGAATTTTTCGTTTTTGGTAACATTTCACAAATGGCCAAAACTGTCAAACCAAGTGTCTTTTTTAATTTGATTTTTCGATGTCATAATTTTTCGTTTTGAGTAAGAATTCACAAATGGGCAAAAGTGTCAAACCAAGTATATTTTGCGGGCTTTATGTAGTAATTTGTGGACGATGTTTAACAAATCTCAACCCCACTTACAAACTTACAAACGTAAACTTTGAAACATGTCAGTCTTGTTCTCTCCGTGTCTCCTAAAACTCATCCTTCATTAATTGCAATCTCTGCTTTGTGGCTTGGACGAGAATTGTAACACTAACAGCAACTAGTCCTGCTTAATTAGTTGTAGCTGAATTAGCAAGAATATGTTTTTGGATCGAAGGGAATATATTGCATCAAAGTTCAAAAACTTTGAACCACAAATCCAGAAGACCTCTTACTTCCTACAAAAAAAAAATTCAGAGAGAGAAGAAAAGTTGAAGAATATATCAGACGTCTTCAACCACCTTCGATAAACCAGACTTCTTCGGCCTATTTCGCTATGACCTGCTCATCATTACATCATAAGTCTTAAACCTTGCGCTGTACCTAAGAATCCAAGATGCATCCACAAAAAAAGGACCATGGCATCTGCACCCTTCAGCTTAAAGCTCTATGTTACGAATATGCTAAATAATACTTCTCTTCAAAACAGGCCAATTTCTTCAATCCTGTGATTTCTGAGTGAAAGTGCTCAGAACATTCAGAAGAATCAACTGGCAGTTATAGCACAAATCAATGGTTTGAAGTTTACAAGTTCTCAGATACACACGAACACCATCAGAGTCGTTTCACAATTTCCTCATTTGCACGTTTATAATATGTCATTCTACGGATGGCATTTAATGCCTCTTCGATATCCTGGCTTTTGAATGCTCCTGCAAATGTATTGGACCACTGTTTTAATCTCTCATGTACCTGAGCCATTACAGTAACAAATTATTAGCTGCCGTATATATACACCATAAAGCTGGAAATAGCCAAGACATTGGCTTTTTGGCTACGTTGCCTTCCTTCCATATGTTAACACCAAACACTCATATTATACCAATCGAACAAGTTAGTCATCATGTGGAAAACATGAAAATTTTATAAATTTTTTGCTACCAAAAACTCTCTTTTCAGGATTGCAAATGAGCCAGCACAGTAATTTAAGCAACCAACAGCTCATATGTGATTCAATATCAGACTTCTATAGAAAATCTCAAACCTCTGCCTGGATCTGTTTTAACGCCTGAGGATCAGGAGCATCTTCGACAGATTCTCTGATCTCCATAATCTGAAATGATCAAGATGTTTACCTTATTAGTCAAGCACACAAATGAAGAAATAGCAAACAAAATGAAGTGTAAACATAACTAGCAAACCAGAAAGTACTTAGATACTAGTCATAAACTCAAAATATCTAGAAAATGGTATGCTTATTACTCAAGTTCTTGCTAATAATGGCTAATTTTGGTCGACTTAAAGTCCTTCAACGCCTTTGATCTTTACAGCAACCATAAGGAAGTTGCTGGATTCCATTAATTACTCCCTCTGTCCCTAAAATAAAGTACAAAAAAGAAGTAATGGGTTTGATTGATTAAAAGCGGATAAAAAAAGTAGAAAGTGGGTTTTAATTAATTAAGGTGAATATAAAAAACAAGATTGAGGAATTTGGTTGATTAAAGTGAAAAAAAATATTGGGGTTCGGTTGATTAAGAGTGAATAAGATATGGGATTTTAATATAGAGACAAGATTTTTGGATGAAATAAGACTGTTATATGGGGACGAAACTAGGGAAGGAGTATTTATCTTCTAAAACTCAAGAGATGGACTAGCCAGCAGGGTTGGTTTAATTAGTTTTTTTTCTATAGAAAAGAATTTCAGCTATGTGCATGAATCACCTTCCTAGTTCCTACCACAGCTTTGACTCTATAGCAGGAAAGACCTGCTTGGAGTTTCATCCATGAATCCATGATGAAGACTGAAAAGTGACCAAGGACGGCCAGTAGACCAACCCACAATCATAACATGCAAATAAAATTATTTTTTATATTTTTATAATTGTCTTGCAACCTTCCATGCCACGTAGAAAAATGTTTATTCAGTAGGCTATCTTAGATTGTAATGGGTTTAGAGGATACAAGGAAAGGAATAATGAGGGTAAAGCTTTAAAAAAAAAAAACTTAGAACAATTTGTATTTTTGGAATATATAATTCCCTATGGATTGTGGTTGGTCACTGACAAAAAAGTAAAAAAACACCAGAAAAGCCTAAAACAACGGAACACCATTACATATGGTAACAAGTAGAATTCATGTTAGAGCTAATCAAAGATGGCCCGGCCCGACCTGAATTTGGGCGGGTCTTGGGCAGCCTTGTCCGGCCAGAAATCGGGTTGGGCCCGGCGCGGCCCGGCCCTATTTTTTGGGCAGGCTTGGGTATGCTACTTTAGTTCATTTTTAGGCCCGGCCCAAAAATCCCGCTCAGCCCGGCCATTTTGGGCGGGTTTGGACATGGAATTTTCGGCCCGAGGAATGGGATGATTTTTAAGCCTCGGCACGGCCCGGCCCGCCCATTGATCAGATCTAAATTCATGTATAAATTGATTAAGAATAATTAGTCAAGCTCAAATTTCCAACAAATTTAATAGCTGACATTTTCAACAGATCTGTTTTCTCTAAATATTAATACTGTATAAACACCTGAAGAAAATATAGCATGATCTCAAATAAAAGACATTATGCTTCCTTTCCTATCTTCTCTGATAAACAAAAAATAATTCCGAACTTAAAAACCATAGTCAAGCTTCTAAAGTAAATTCATGGGGAATATGTTCCTGCAAAAACTACATAGGTTATCAGGTGGTTCTTTCTGATCTAATGGTCACAGCTTACATTGATTTCGATATTCAACGGGACACCAAAACTAAATTTCCAAAGAGACAATCGTTATTCATTAAAGAAGAGAAGATTAGAGCTTCAGCATCAAATTCATTTCCATTATTCCATAGAGTCCATGCATTGATAGCACAGTCCAGTAGACAAAATGGTTATACTTGACGCCGAAATGGATTTTGGAATTTTAAGAATACTTATCGAAATTAGCAAGTCAAATAGCAAATGTAATTATCTAAATAAATTGTGTAATTATCTTACCTCAGCTAGCAACTCGGGATCTGAAACAGTCTGCTCTTCATCAACGTGTACACCCTGTAACTTCATCTGCCATGTTAGAAATCACACATCAATTGTCTTATATGGAGGCCTGATAAATGAAGAAAAGATATAACAAGAGGCCAAATAACATTCAGACGTAACATGTCTATTAACTGGTTTCTAACTAAATTCTTCGGGAGGGGGGGTGAAGAAAGCACATTTGAAGTGTCGTTTGGTTCTAGGCCTTCCTATTCTCACTTTAGAACCTTTGGCTACCTTTGCATTTTAAAGCCCAAGCATGTCTATTTCTTGGTAATCCATTTGGGAAGATAAAAAAAACGAATTTAATAAATTAAAAACCTATCAGATTTATTTTTTGAAGGTTGTTGTGTTTCATAAAACAATGCTTCTTTTAGGAGTCTCAGTCAGATCCATCTTCTAATTTCTCTTTCCCTTTACTTTTCTTGATTATCCTTATTCTCTACTTCGTTTGCTCTTCCTTTTTTTCTATCTTCTCCACCTACTTAACTCACATTTCACTCTTTTGTAGGCAACATAGCCAATAAGATCAACTAGAATCTCTAACCCTCCAGCCAATCTGTAAGGTTAATATGCCACAGTGCTTCTGGTGACACTTTTTCTTACCCTTGTTCCATACCTTCTCAACACTAAATAAGTATTTTATTAGCAGGAAGCCAACACTAAATAAGTATTTTATCAGCAGGAAGCCGATGCTACCTTACAAATTAGGCCAATGACTTCAGATGTTTGTGATAATTTAAAGACTTGTAAGCAAATCACACATGGGAGATTGTGGATTTACTTCCATGCCATCCAGGTTAAAGTCCCATGAGCAGCAAATGTGTCTATAAATCTACATAGTGAAATATAAATCTAACAGGACTATACAAAGGTGAAAGGAAGAGTTATAATTAGAGGAGATACACAAAAAGGAGGAGGTTGATTACATTGAACCTTTCTCTAGGAGTCAAATTCACTAACATCAGGAGTCATGTTGCTACAGGCCTACAGCTGCTAAAAAGAGATTGCTAAATATAAGCATGACGTAAATAAACTTTTCTTCATGGAGATTTAGATGAAGAAACTAGTGAGTGTCCCCGAGTGATGCTCTAGGTTACAATATGTAATTTTCAATCTAGTTAGGAAAAAGTGACATCATGATGACAACATGAAAAGTAAAAGCATGATATTTGAAAAACGTTATAGGTATCAATAGTTGGCTTAGTTCCATCTTATAATCCAAAGCATATAGAATTGGATTGCCATTATGTCCGAAGACAACTTTAGCATAGACTCATCAATCTTTATCATGTAGTCATGTACCTACACTACAACTGCATATTTGACAGATATTTCACTAAGGTTTTTCCTGGACAGCACCATCACTATATACTAAGCAATTTGAAGGTGTCTCCACTCAATTCTCCAACTGAGGGAGGGGGGTGTTGAGCACATAAAAGTGTAAACTTTACAAATGTTTGTGTAAAGCTGCATACTATAAACTTCCTTATCTGGCCTAGATTAGAGTCTCACCAGCAGAGTTGTGATAAAATTGGTACAACTAAGCACCACACACAAGATACACACGTAGCATAAATGCATGAGGTTCATGCAGCATACATTATCACAGACACTAAAATAGAAAGCCTGCCATTTTTCAAGTAAACAAAAATGTAGAAATGCTGTTGTACTCACAAGGTATATTGCCCTGGACAAGGAATTTTTGAGCGTCCTGTATGCATCAATTATTCGAGAAGATTGCTCAGCAGCATACTCCTTTTCACTCTAATCACATATGACGGTAATTAGACAGCCTAAAAGTCCGGAGTATAAGTGTTTCTAAACATTCTAAATTCAAATAAATATAAAACAAACCTCAGACTTTGAATGAACTAGATCAGGATGCAGTTTTTTCTGCCAGTCTTTATACAAGCCCTCCAAACTATTCTCCTCAATATCATATTTTCGCTCCCTGTAACACGTTAAACAAGCAGAACTTAAAGGCTATATTCATTCTCATTTATCAATGCTAATTACTATAAGTTTGGAATCCCAAGGGGCTGAAGAATTTACGAAATCACATCATATACCCATTGAAACACCTAAAATATTCAAGTAGGACAACAACAAAATATACATAAGCAAGAAAAACCGTAAATTCGAAATAGGCTAAAACACAATCTCACAAGGACAGGTTATGGGACTATGATGTGATAATAACTTCAACTATAAACAAAGTTATTCAATCCCTACAACTCGCAACATACGTCTGTCCCTTTATCCCAAAAATTAATCATCTACACTCCATCACTTTAAGTCTAAATTTAGCTTAGTTTCCTTTTCGGCTCATCCCTTTGAGTAGAACTGTTCGACGAGCCAGCTGGGCTGGGCAGGCTTTATATGAAATGGGCCGGGCCGGGCCAAGCTTGTCCATGGGCCATTAAGCCCAGCCGGCTCAGCCCATTCAAAATGTATAAACAAACTACAACAACCTTAAAGTAAACACAATATAAGAGAATTATAAAGGGTCTTTCAGTTAAATCAATGCCAATCACCTTCAACTTCTCTTTCCTCCATTTTTACCAAAAAAGCTACTCACATTTTCTCTCTCCTCTCTTCTGCCATATGAACGATCTCCTTCATAGCTCCATCGCTTGATCGCTTCAATCTTCGTCGTCGGAAGAAATTAGGATTTCCACTTTCCGACGAAGCAATGATGATGAACCTTAACCTTGTTAATTTCACCGAAGAAGACGATGATGACACATTCAGGAACAAGGAGAGATTGCTGCTTCTCTTAGCGCCATTATTGGAGTTCAATTGAAATTGGATTCTCATTTTTTTATTTTTTTTAACAATAAACAAAAAAAAAAAAAAAAAAAAAAAAAAAAAAAAAATCATACAACACTTTGTCGCCATTATTGAAGTGCCATTGGAGCTCTCAGTGTTGCATTGTCGATCGCCATTGTTGAATTGTCGTTAGGAGTTCTCGAAAGGGACGGCAGTGTTGTATCATTTTGTTTGGTTTTTTTTTTTATTTATTTTTTAATAATTTAAAAAAAAAATCAATTGAAAATCCAATTGTGAAATTAATATTCAAGTCTAACAGAAAAATTAGGATAAAAAAAGCCTCATAAGAGTTATCTAATTTCAGCCATTTTTAACTTAGACCCAACCCTTTAAAAGCCCATTATTTAATAATCCTTTAAAAGCCCACTCCATTTAAATATTGGATAAATAAAACCCTTTTATAAAAGGGCTGGATTAGGGCTTTAAATGGCCCCCTAACCATTGAACAGGTCTACCTTTGAGTTAGCCCCGTACTCTACATCGTCCACAACTTCACTCTCACATACTCTACTATTGGTCACACCTAGGGGTGGGACTTTTCAAACCGAACCGTGAAACCGTCCGTTACCGAACCGAACCATCACGGACCGAACCGTTTATAACCCGCTAATTTTAAACCGAAAACCGAACTGAACTGTATAATGTCAAACCGAAACCGAACCGAACCAATTAATGTTAACCCGTTACGAACCGTAAACCAATAACAAACCAAACCGTTTATAAACCGAAATCGTTTGAACCGATTAATGTTAACCCGCTAACTGTTTAAACCGAACCGTTTATAAACCGAAACCGTTTAAACCGTAGGAAAAAACCGTTTAAATCGAACCATTTACAACCCGCTAACCGTTTAAACCGAACTGTTATAACCCATTAAACCGTTTAAACCGAACTATTTTCAAACCGCAACCCGTTTAAACCGATCCGATTACAAACTATTTAAACCGAACCGTTTACAACCCGTTCCATTCAAATTGAACTATTTACAGCCTTTAACAATTTGTTAGAATTCCATGAAATATATTTGATGTTTAATGTAATTTAACAGTACAATTTTTTTTACATATAATTATTGATTTAAATTTGTAAATTTTTTTGCTATTATAAAATTAAAATTATATTCTTGTATAACTAAATTAGGAGTTATAAATTAAATAAAAAAATGAAAAAATTTGGCCACCCACCCAATCCAACCACCCTCCACCCACCCACCACTGTAACCCACCCTAACACCACCCCCGCCGTCACCCCAGACCCACCCTAACACTACCCCCACCCACCACCGTTACCGTAACCCACCCCCACCCCACCACCGTTACCGTAACCCACCCCCACCCCACCAACGTCAACCCAGACCCACCCTAACACCACCCCCGCACCCACCATAATTACCGTAACCCACCCCACCCCACCACCCACTGTAAATAAAAAAACCCTGACCCAAACCTTACCCCACCCCATCCACCACCGTCACCGTAAATAATAAAAACCCAGACCCATACCCCACCCCACCTACCACCATCACCGTAACGTACCCCACCCCACCCCACCCACCACCGTCACTGTAAAAAAAAAAAAAAAAAAAACAGACCCTACCCCAACCACACCCACCACCGTCACCGTAACACACCCCACCCCACCCCATACAAAAAATTCGAAAAAAAAACCCAAACCCACCGTAACCCCACCCCACCCACCCCCACGAAACCCAACATCCTCGAAACCCCCCAACTCACTCTAATTGCTCACCCACCATAAAACTCCCTCCCTCCCTCGAAAAATCCTCCCTCCCCACCCACCCGAACCCAGTCTAACCGCCGCCGCACCCATCCTAACTCGGCCCCCTCCTTTGCCCACAACTTGAAAAAAAATTAAAAAGAAAAACAGAAAATAAAAAAAGGAAGAACGAAAACACCTTATATATTAATCCTGAATTTGGCCTCGAATTTGGTTTTAAAAGGCCAAATTCGATCATGAAACAACTAGATCTAGAGTTTCGTGGTCGAATTTGACCATAAAAACCGTCGTGCGTGGTGCCGGTGGACGGAGACGGAGAAACGAGATGGAAGAAAGGAGAACATAGACGGAAGGAGGGAGAAGAAGGAAGAAGAAGAACGGAAGAAGGAAGAGGAGATGAGAGAGAAAACGAGAGAGCAGTGAGCATATTAGCAGCCATGGCTTCAAAAAATTGATAATATTACAGAAGAGGATTAAGAAAACGAGAGAGAAATCAAAAAGAGTACTAAAGAGACGATGGTAAGAGTGATCTGATTGGTGGAAAAGAAAACACACGGATCGTGAATTGGAATGTGTGCGATGATAGGTCGTTAGATGACATGCAAATCAATGGCTGATATTTAATATAAGACGGTGACACGGATCATGGGATAATGGATTTGGATAGTATGTTTTTTTTTTATTCATAGCTACGTACTAATAAAAACACTACTGTACTCTTAACTTTATGTAACTTATAAATTGTAAGAAACACAAATGTTTGGAAATTGGAATTGATTCAATATGACATATTTAATGTATATTAGTTATATGTATATCAGTATATGTAATAAATAATAATGTATGGTACGATTGGTATCATACTATCATTGGTATGTATAGATAATCGATAAATGTATCTGATTATTAAAACTTAAAACAGTTGATGATCGATCTAATTGAATACTTCTATTTCCCCACCTGTTTTCTTTAACTTGCAAGTTGCAACATATATATGTTGCAGCCTTGTAGGCACGTAATCTTAAAAGGTGATTAGAGAGGGTAAGACAACAAAGTAATTCAGCAATATAACTTTAACACCAAAATTATGGAATAGTTACAAACAATTGTCAATTATTACTTTATTAGACTAATGGGAAATTGAATAATCGTGATTTTAATTAAACATCCAAATATAGTTTCGTAACATTAAATTATTAGTTTATTACAATATCAATTATCAATTTATCGTATTCAAAGTACCAAATCATCAAATCATGGTTATGACGCGATCTTTAAAACAATTAAAACAAGAAGCTGATAGCCTGATAATATTTGATAATAAAACAATAATACATTAATACCTTATAAATTTGTAATAGACTAATATTTAATAAACAACAACAAGACTATAACCAAATTTGAAACATAACACATTAACATGATATAGAATGAATGAGAATTTCTGTAATTCTATATAATCTGATATCTGAATCGATTTATCGTATTCAAAGTAGCAACTCATCAAAACATGGTCATGACACGATATCTAAAACAATCCAACAAGAAGCTTGATAACCTAATAATATATATTTAATAATGAAACAATAATACATTAATACATTATAAATTTGTAATAGACTAATATGATAATATCGAATAAACAACAACAAGAGTATAACCAAACTTGAAACATAACATATTAACATGATATAGAATAATTGAATAAATGAAGATTTGTGTAATTGTATATAATCCGATGTCTGAAAATAAAGTGACGAAGTCCCAACTTTATATAAAACGAAAATAGCTAACCGGTCAAAAATCTCTTAAAACCCAATTTCTACTCGATCCATTATTTTTTTCACCAACCTATGCCGACCCGCTAATGAAATGGAAATACTAGTCCCAACTTGATATAAAACAAAACGCGCTAACTGGTCAAAACCACTTTTTAGAACTCGATTTCAACCCGATCCAATTAAACCGATTACCAAACTAACCCGAACGATTTTAGCACCAAACCGAGTATAAACCGAACCGATATGAATCGAACTAGCATTAACCCGGGTAAACCCGCCCCTGAACCGACCCATTTCAAAATAATCCGTTCATGACCCGAACCGATATGAACCCGGACCGACGTTGACCCGGTAAAACCGCCCCTGAACCGATCCGTTTCAAACCGGTCAGATCATGACCCGAACCGTTTATAAACCGAACGGGCATTGACCCGGGTAAACCCGCCCCTGAACCGACCTGTTTCAAACCGACCCGATTATTAACTGAACTGTTTAAAAACCGAACCGGCATTGACCCGAGTAAATCCGCCCCTGAAGCGACCCGTTTCTAACCGATCTGATTATGACCCGAACTGTTTATAAACCGAACCGTTTATGACCCGAACCGAATTTAAATCGTACAAAAATAAACCGAAACCGAACCGACCTGTGACTAATCAAAACCGAACTGAACCGACCCGCCGTCTAAATGAAACCGTTTTAACCCGAACCGTTTCAAACCGAAACCGTTTCAAACTGAGGTCAAACCGAACTGCCAGACCGAAGTCCCACCCCTAGTCACACCTCCCACCAATTTTTTCACTCATCAACTCCACCCAATCAATACTTAAAAAAGTAGCAAAACTCCAATGCGGCAATCTTAGAGAGACGCAGGGAATACATAGGAGTTTAACGACTTTGTTGTACACATGATTAGGCATGATATGCTAATAAAAAGCTATCAACTAACAATTAACAAAGACAATAGCTCATACCGAGTAACATTAACATCATCATTTTACTTTAACAAAATCAAAGCAATTCAAAACTCACGGCAATAACATCGAATATTACATCGTTTGAATTTGCATAAATTAGAACTTCCAGTAAACTTGCATAGCAATTATGAGCTAAATTACTATAGTTACAACAATATCAATTCAACATTCAAAGATTTTGTATGAATTTCAACAATTATATTCCATTACCAGCAGATAAATCAAGTGAAGAAAGAGAAAGCTTACAATCCAAAAATCCGAAAGTAATCAACAGAACTATCAACAGGTTGAATACAACGGCAAGAATCACAAACAAGAAAGAGTTGCGAAGTTGTTGGTGACGAATTACAGTTCCAACATCTTCGGATTTCGGAGCTTGATGAAGATGATTCGGAGAAAAAAGGCTTGAATGATAGATTGGAAAAATCATGGAGAAAAATTGCAGGAAATTTGAAATGGCGAGAAAAAAATGAAGAGGAGAGAGAAGAGAGAGATTGAGTGTGGGATTGGAAGGTGGTAGAAGAGAGAGAAGAAGTGGGTCGAAGGTGTCGGCGGAAGAGAAAAGAGAATCGCCGCCATGAAAGTCTGAAGGTATTCATCGGAGTATTTTGGAGCTCCGGCAACCGAAGCTGAAGATAGTACGTGTTTTGATGTTGGGCTTAGAATTTGGTCCTGAAATTTCTGCACACTGCTGTCATTATACTTGTTCGGTTCTACGGAATACAATTAGTATGTCAGAAGGGTTTGACCCTTTGATTTTGGTTCGGTTTGAAATCAGTTCAAATTTGAAAATTTAAAATAGGTCATTTGAAATCGTTTTAAGTGACCTATGGGTTGGTTTCGGTTCGGTTCAAATTATTATCAGGTTGGTTCAATTTCGGTTTAATTTTGAGTGGTTTTAATTTGATTCGACATGTAAACGATTTTTAACCCGGTTCAAAAGGTTTCGGGTTAGGAACGGTTCGGGTTAAAAATGGTTTGGTTCTATTTCAGTTCAGTTTAAAACTGTTTCTGTTTGTTATTGGGTTTGGTTCTTATACAGTTTAACATTATTCGGATCGGTTCGGTTTTGGGTTAACTAAAATACAGCTCGGGTCGATTTTCGGTCTCAAATAATCGGTTTTAAATTGGTTCGGTTCTCATTTGGGTCGGTCAGTTTCGGGCAGTTAAACGGTTTCAGTTAGAAATTTGACAGTGCTAAATACCGTATATTAGTCGGCTTTGTTTCATGAACCCTGTGTAGGATAATCGAGTTAGATTAGCGTCATATATATGAATGACTTATTTGTTAGTCGATAATGCCTAAGTGGTGGTAATGAGAATGAAGTTTAGTGTAGTGTTGCAAGGAACGTAACATTATTCTTGATCAAAAACACAAGGAAGAGTGAGAAAACAAAGTGAGAAAAAGTTTACATGGAAAGAAAAAGAGTGTTTTTTCGAGTGGGAGGTGGGTTTTATACCACACACGCGCGTGTCAAGTCGTGCGAGGTTGGGTCAGGCTCATCCGCTCGGGCCTTGGGTCTTGGGGAATGTAATGCGCGGGTATGGGTGGGTTGTAGGTCCTCTATCTTTTTGGTCAGACTATATTCCTTTTTGAGTTGAAAATTGTTAGCGGAATATTCTAAATTTTCTGACTGTTGGGACTTGTCCAGCCTTCATGACCGACCATTATCCTCTAATTAATGCCTTGAAAACAATCGACTATTATGCTTAATTCTTGGTCGTTTTCTCCTTATTTGTTGCTGGCCGTTTGGCTCCCCTTTGCCCATATAAACTTGTTTTCCATCTTAAAAATATATATAAGCAAACGCACAAAATTCAAAAGATATTCTCGTCTCTAAATATTCATATTTAAACTTCTAAACAAGTATTCTGAGTTCCAGTTGGGTTTGTGAGTGCACACAAACTCCAACACCGTGCTTATCCTGGAGAGCAACCGCTTTATGTCTACTGCACCGAGAGGTAGCGCAAAATCGTCTTTTAGATTTGTAGTACACCACGACTATTGTCAATTTCATTTGCCCAACATCGAAGTAAGTAATTTCTGTTTTATTGCTTATAATATAAAAATATCATGGAATGTCATATCTCGCCAAACTTATGTTTTTCTTCATGAAATTGCATTCTCATCCATTATGTTTACGTTACCACTCCCCAAATGCTAATTGACGTTGATGGAAATTTTTGAAGAAAATGACATACATGAGGTAAATAAGCATTAGTGCATAACCATGGGCCTTTGTGTATCAAATTTTTTTTTTACATTTTTACAACACAAATTCATTCTTATTACCTTCATTTATTGTCAAATACAAATTTTATATATGGCTGGCCACACACACTATGTGGCCAGCCACCCCGGAGTTACTTTGTTAGTGTTATAAGGATTACTCGGTCAATGTTAGGGTTATTTCGTCAGTGTTACAAGGGTTACTCGATCAGTGTTTTAAGGTACATGGTTTGCTAAAATACACCCCAAATGTAAAGTGAAACAACTACTATAAAAAGACCAAAGACGCACAAATTTTGAACTCTCAAATCTAAAAATTGATATACAAAACAAGACCTTGTTTGAATATTCAATCAAAAACATACAATTGGGTGCCCAAAAAAAATTTATTATTTACATCCTTACAAACTAAATTATTAAGGATAAATAAGAAAAAGAGAAGAAATCATATGGAATATTTTTCTAGGTCAGTTTTGAATTTATGATACATCAACTTTATCATTTAAAAATGGCACTAGTATACATTAGGTACAATCTCGAACTATTTTCGTTGTTAGAGATGGTGAAAAGCCGAACACTACCATTTGTATTGTCCTTTCTCTGGTTATAATGACTCAGGAGACCAGCCTCGCGGAAGGAATATGAAAACAACATAGCCTCCACTTTTTTTGCTGTCCAGTCTTCTTCTTGTCTTCATGGATGCCATTAGCTTCACGGTTCATGGAACTAGCTGTGAGTCCTGCGACTGGACTGTTTCCGGCAGAAGGCGCATGTATTGACCAATTGGCGATTGCAGGATTTTGATCAGGAGGTATCACTTGAGAATTTTCTTCCTGGGCTTGAAGATCTGATTTTTCAGACCTGTAATAAACAAGGCAGAAAATTAAACTACATATACAACTGGTAAGTTAGAAGCTTAAAAGGCAATGAAAATATTAGAGATAAACAGGATATATAGATATAATATCCTCTTTGCTGAATATCAAACTTATTTTCTCAATTATTTTTAGAGTATCCTAGTAAATGAGAGACTAGAGAGGGAACACTTGTGTACCAATTGTCCAGACACAACTAGACTTAGACGAGTTCATCCAGAAGGATACAGTCTGCAGTGTTGTGAGATTTCAGAGGTTAACAGAAGGAGACAACCTAGCAATCATCCTTTTAACAGTAATAAGTTCACAAAACTTGGACAACCATGCACCTATAATAAATCCGCAAACACTAAACCCCCCTCAGCAGCCAAAATCCAACAAACAAGAAGAAAAGAAATGAGAAACTTGGCATGAAAATATATTTGCAGTATTTTGCACGTCTTAATAGGGATCTAATCTCAACAGCAATAATCTTATATCCTTTTCGCCTAAGAAAACAATCTTACATGCCACTCTTGTATGCAACCAATCATTTTTGTCACGATTGTTTATTTATATACCCGCTAAAAAGGAGACATTTATATGGGATAGGAGGAACAAGAAAATACCTCATATTATCAGTACCCAAGTCATTCCTGGATACATGTGCAGTAGCCTTATCATTTTCTTCAACTGAAGTACCCTGCTTATCTACCCAGTTCATTTGTTTACCCAATGTTGAGGATATAGCTGCACCATCTCCTATCTTAGGGCCAGATTGACTGCCATTCTGACCTTTGCGTCTATTCTCTTTGACAACATTGATCAATTTATCCAAAGTACCTAGAGCTCTCTCTACCTGGGGACTTATAGGCACATTATTATGAAAATCCACTGATTGAGATTGATCAATTGAACCACGGCTTTCCTTTGCATCTTTGATATTATTCACATTTTCATTTTCGCTTCCTTCCACCCCTTCTTCCTCAATCTCACAGGCTAATTTATCCTGCATCAAGTATCCACTAAAATGGCCATTGCTTTCTTTGATCGCTTCTTCCTCAATCTCGTTACTAATTGGTTTGCTCCCCTCTGAAGGTTTGCTAAAATTATCATTGCTAAGAATCTTCTCATCTTCCTTTCTAGATGCATTTTGCACGTTTGTTTTCTGCTTGCCATCATTGATGCCTGTGTAGTCCGGAATGGTTTGTTTTCCCATGAGGCTCCTTTTTGATTCACTTTTTGAGTATAAAGCTTGACGTATTCGACTGTATAGAGGGTCACTCAAAACCTTGGCAAAAGCTTCATCTCCATTAGATACAGAAGCAACTGTCTGCAATAACACCGGGTATCAGCAATGCTGAAAGATTGTTTACATACTGAAGCATCTAACTACCTAAGAATGCTGTGACTTGCTCCTTATATATTAAGGAAGATTATGTCTAGAATTCTTATAATACACACCCCCCAGTAATACTGAGCATTGGCAACAGAAGTTGTTCTTAATGTTAAAACAAAAGCTTCAAGATACTTTCACCATTAAAATTTATTCATTCTTTCACTGCTTTTTGTAGTCTTTATACTGCTTTAACTAATAATAGCAATTTGAGACACAAAAAAGAAGAAAAGTTGATTGATTGAATGATTGATTGATTGAAAAGGAAGAAAAGTTCAGGCAAAAACCAGCTCCCTTACAAATAATAATAATAATAAATAAATAAATAAAATCCACTGAACACCCAACAAACTAAAACCAAGGGGACAAAAATATCCTGTCATCTGATTTCTACAGGCTAGAATCATCCGACTATGTCAAATAAGTTGACCTAAATCAGTCACTCTTCCAAGTTCAGAATTTCATTCTTGACATCAGCACAAACGGCTCAAATTTGATTCCAAACAGTGAGGCAGCTAGTGATTACATATATTTGCCTGCTAATTGGACGGCTTGCTCAGGAGAAAGAATAGGACAGACCATGAGATAGAAGGCATTTGGTATAGAGGAGCACATTGGTAGGTTTTAAAAAATTATGATCTTGAATCCCCATTTGATTATCCAGTAGCTCTTATCAGAAAGGAATAAAAAAATAAAATAACACCAAGCACACTGCACAACTAATGGTGCATCTCAAGTAAGAGTACAAAGGGAGTAGGATTCTTACCTTCTTATAGAACCTGAAACCACTCCCTATCAGTTGTCTCGATATGAAATTTATAAGTGATGGAGGAACAAAATCCAATTTTATGTCCAGGTTGCCTATTGTCCTGCAAACAGTAAGGGAAAATCCAAGTAAACAGATGGAGTGATAAGAATTAAATTACAGAGCATGGAATCAACCCATGACATTATGATGATTCATACAGTCACCAATCCAGTCAACTATTGTTGCAGAAAAGATCTGAATCCCTTTTTATTTTATTTTTTGTTGCCCTTTCGATTGCATGTAAATTTCATGAAGTTCACAATTCACATCTCCCAGATTTTTGAACAGTTCCGAGAACTTCAAAAAACTTCAAAAAATCATTTTTTTACTAGATCAAATTCTAAATTGCCATGATCTCCTTTACTTTCTACCCATATATATATATTTTTTAATAGAATTACTTGTA